GCTGAGGCTGGCTTTGAACTCGCCATCCTCCTGCCTCAGCCTCCCAAGCTGCTGGGATTACAGACATGCGTTACTGTGCTCAGCTTCTTTTTCAATCTTCTGGCAATACTTCTGAACCTCTGTTTCCTCTTACTAAAATAAGCAAAATTTGCTGAGTGCCTACTCTCTGCCCTCGACTTTACTGGTTGCTTTTACGTATGTTCTTTGTAATATTAATCTTCATAACACGATGAAGCAGATTTTCAGGTTTGGGGAATGAAAAATGGAGGCTGGAGACATTGCCACTCCTGCCTGAGAACTGTGGAGCCAGAGGTCAGAGATGGGTCTCCCAAACAGGGAGCCTCTGGTCTCCTGCCACATATTAAACAGCTTCCAGAACCCTTCACCTTTTTTATTTCGTGTGACCCACAGCTTGATCCTCCCAATTCTATGGATCTCTGGTTCTTAAAGATTCATGGAAAAATGAAAGCAAACCAACGCAAAATAAAACTCCAACCTTGGATTTAAGGTGATGGATTTCAGACAAGCCCAAAGACAATCCCAATAGTTGGGACTGAGTTCAACCAAGTTTGTACTTAAAATTCCTAGCACACAGCCTCAATAGTCCAACCTTCCTCTTTTGAGATTATGGCTTTCTTCTCATATTTCTGGAACTTGAATCAATATATTGATGTAAGAAGCTGTTTATAGATGTCTGCGTTTGAGAGAAGGTTAAGGAGACCCAGGGTGTTCTGAGTCATTACGGGTTTGGCTTCCCTGACATCACTCCTTACGCAGAGAGGATGAAAGTCATTTGTTCCAGGAGCCCCAAGGGGCCACCTGGAGAAGTTCCAACAGTCCTGCTTCTCCCTCCTTAGGAGGGTGAATGCCGACTTCTGAGCTCCCTTTTGCCCAGGTCCTGCGTTGTATTCAGCAGAATCACTGCAGTCTCTTCAGCAGGAATGTTAAGCATGTGCTATTTTCAGGCCACTCAAAATAACAGAATTAAAATGCAAAGAACAAATAAATTAGGGAAGGATTCTAAACACAAATTAATTATTTGCCTTAAGTAAAGGTTCACTGGCAACTTCATTGGTTTGGCAAGCTTCCCACGGTCGTTTACAATGTAATTTGAGTAATAAGAAACCCTACGTATACAAAATATCCAGTAGCATGTGATTTAATAGCTGGTATTTCTATAGGGTTTTATCAGTGTTTTTCATAATGTATTTTGTCCTCTTGACTATTTTGAAAAGTGGGGCAAGTATTGTTATGCCCATGTTACAGACGCAAACGCTAAGGCAGAGAGCAAAGCCTCTGTGTTCAAGGTTACGTACCTGGGAAATGTCATAGGTTAGGCTAGCTGTCCATTCATTTGACCCCTTGTCAAAACACTTGTCCCTTGTAAGCCACTGTGTTTGGGGTTTATACTTTTTCTTGAAAGTACTCAGGTATTTATAAACTATTTTAAAGCATATTAAATTTGAAATGGAGGATCATGTATTAAAAATAATTTTGCTTTCAAAGAGCGTAGTTGGAGATCTGTTAAGTTTCTGAAAGATCCCACCTGAGTCACCAGTGAAACTTTTTGCATTTGTCAGGATTCTCCTGAGAAACACAGCCAATAGGATAAATGTATATGCATATCTACATCTGTATCTAATTATGTCTGAAGAAATTTATTGCAAGGAACTAACCCATATGATGTGGGAGGCTGAGTAGTCCCATGATCTACTGTCTGCTATCTGGAGACCAGGAGAGCCCCTGGCATAGTTTTAATGAAAGTCCACAGACCTGAGAACCAGGAACATCAAAGGTATGTTTCAATCTAAGGGCAGAACACAGTGTCCCAGCTCAAGTCATTAGGTAGAAACCAGAAGCCTTTCTTCCTTTGGCTTTTTTGTTCTGTTCAGGTCCTCATCGGATTGCATGGTGCCCAGTCTTCACTGGGGAGGGCCATAAGCTTTGCCCAGCCACTGATTAAAATGCCAATATCTTCTAGAAGCACCCTCACAGACACACCGCAAATAACATTTCACCAGATACCTTCACTGGGTCCAAGGCCCAGTCAAATGGACACACAAAACACACAAAAAAAGTAACCATCTCACTTTTTCAAAAACAGATGGTCAGGCCAGACCATAAATTTATTCAATGAGAATTTCCAGGTGTAGGTTTTGTTGTTGTTTTTTCAACCCAAACCGGAAAGCCCAGATGCCGCCAACTCGAGTCACTCTGAGGACTGGGAAGAGAGTCACAGCTTTTCAAAGAGGATGCCTTCTGTGCTGAGAGCTATAAGTCATTTCCTTGCAGGCAAACTCAATAAATTTAACTTGTGTTCTTCCTCCCTAGCACAGCAGAAGAGAGAATGAGTCATACACCACTGAAGATAATCAAGAATCAATTCTGTTTCACCTTAGGACATGGTTCAGTCTCCATATTAAAAGTCAATGTGTTCCTTCCAGAGTAATGCTCTTCATAAACAGCTCTCAAGGCTCCGGTGGGTCCTCGTTGACTCCTGACGGCAACATGCCCCTTAGCATGACATTTCGACCCTCCATGACCCGACCCTGTTCTTACCACCTCTGTGAGCTCTTCCTCTTCCTCCAAGAACCTGTACCCCACCGGTCCACAGCCACATGATCACAATTGCCAAAAAGCACTCGATTTCATTTAGGACTTCATCCATGTCCCTCAACTGTAATGCCTTTCTATTTTCCTTTCCTCAATCTCTATTTGCTAATTCTCACACTTTCTTTAAGGGTTAAGCTAAATAAAATTATGCATTGCTTAACAACAGGATGCATTCTGGGAAGGGCATCATTAGGTGATCTCATAGTTGTGCAAATGTCCTGGAGAACACACACACAAATTAAAATGGCTACAGCGTCACTAGGCAATATAATCTTAGGGGACCGTCCTCATATAGATGTAGTCTGTCACTGATGGAAATGTCCATGCCGTGGTGTATGGCATTAGTTTTTTTCCACAAAGTCTTCATTCACTTGAACTAGAATCTTCCTCCTCTTTGCTCCACTGGTATTTTGTGTGCACCAGGTGTGTAACACGCATCGTGTCCTGAGTTAAATATTTATTTTACATGTGTATTTTACTTATGTATTTTCGGTCCTTTGCTAGTCCATGCCTTGCTCATCTTTATACCCTCAAGGTGGTAAGGCCTGTGCCTGAGATATAATTGATAGGTGCCCAGTAAAATAACTTGTGAAATTGAATTAAATGATAGTTCTCCTGTTTTGGAGATGCATTTCGATAAAATTATGAAGCTTTCCCTTGAAAATCTGACTTGGAATTTCTCTATTTTGTAGCCAACAAAAGGCTTTGTCTGAATAGGCAGGAGTGAGGTGTAGATTTTGGGGGTTTGGGGTGAATTAACCAGGTCACTGAGGTTGACAAAGGAAGAGGTTGCAGTGGAGGCACAACCTTTGTTGAAACTATACACCAGCTGATACCAAGATATCCAGATATCCAAGTGTGCAGAGAGGTCAAACCAATGGTAGTAAAATTCTTAAAAAAAAAAAAATTCCTAGAATCTCTGTTTCCACCAAAATGGAGATTAACAAAAGATAAGCAGAGCATAGAATCCCTAAGAAATGGATTCTGATCCAGCCTATGGTTCTCATTGACGAATGGACTAGAATGCGTGCACGTGCACGCACACATACGCACGCACGCACACACACACACACACACACACACACACACAGATGCCTGAATCAAAGCCTGTTTAGAGTAATATCCAGAGATATGGGAATAAAACCAGAAGATTGTTGCATCACAAATCTCACAAAAAGAAAGTATAGCAAGGATAAATAGTGGTCAACTCTATTTAATGCAACAGAAATTATGTAAATTGAGACAAATGACGGGATTACTAGATTTGAAAAACATAGTGACTGCTGGTACCTTTGGCAAAGCCAGTTTGAGTGCAGTTAGAAACAGCTGGATGGGAGAGGATAGAAGTGTGAGTGGAGATGGACCTTCTTACTGAGAAATGTCACAGATTTACACACCAAGTTCATAATTAAATTCCAAGTAACTCATAACCTTATTTATTTTCCCACAAAGAAGCTAAAAGCTTTCATTTCTGATTGTATGGAGGATGCTATTCCTTCAAATCCGGACCTGATAAGAACTATATAGCCTTAACTTTTAAGTGCATTACCCTATAAAGTATAGAATAAAGGGAAAGCCCCAGAGAGACCAAAAACAAAGTGAAAATTTGGACCCTGAGAAGGGCAGGGCCAACATACACGTTCACCGTGAGTATTTTCTAAACTCTACTGAACTTGAGTTCTTGCTATTTTGATGATTTCATGGGGTGAGGAAACCTGGGGATAAAGTCTAGATCCCACCCAAGATGAAAGTCTACTAGAACCCGTTGTGTAACAAAACAGCCTGGGACTCAGCGGTCTCAGCCAACCATAGATTACTCTAAGGTTGACAAGGCTTCCCTGGGAAGCCCTCACATGGAGCATGTTGTGGGGTTGCAGCCAGATGGAGGTTGGGGCTGAAGTCATCTAAAGGCTTGGCCATCCGCCAGCCAGCAAGGGTTCACTCTCAGGACAGGACGTAGTGGAGCTGGCTATTGGCTGGATATCAGCTGGGGACGTCAAACAAATCATCTTCAGGTAGCTTGGTCATTTCACAGAATGGTGGTTGAATTCCAAGAGGGAGCATCCTAAGAGCCAGTTTTAGGAAACCCAGGCAGAAGCCTCGTGGCTTGTTGTTCTAGACACAGAAATCACTTCTGCTGCATCTTATTGGCCAAACAAGTCATTAAGCCCAGATCATGTTTAAAAGAACAGAACTAAATTCTACTTTTAAAATTTTCATTGATGCATACTTATTACACAGAATAATGGGTTCCACAGAGGCATGTTCACACATGCGTATGACATAATTTGATCCATTTTCGTTCCCAAGACCTCACCTTGTAGATTGTACTTCCTGATGTGAGGAACAGAATGCAATTTTAAGTTAGAGAAGGACTCAATGGTGTTCGTTTTTGGACAAGATCTGTTACACCTCCTGAATAAAATGAAATGGAAATGGAAGACTCCATGCTCAGCATAATGGCGTGTGAGAAACAGACCTGTGTCCCACAGGAAGAGCAATGCACATTGCCTGTCTGGAACCCTCCCTCCACTGGGTGATGACAAAAAATCATCTGTCCTGAAATGTTTTGACCATAATTTTGATCATGGGAGAATTTATAGCCAGAATTCATACTTCCAATGTGGTATTTTTTTTTTTTAAAGAGAGAGTGAGAGAGGAGAGAGAGAGAGAGAAAAAAAAATTTTTTAATATTTATTTTTTAGTTCTCGGCGGACACAACATCTTTGTTGGTATGTGGTGCTGAGGATCAAACCCAGGCTGCACGCATGCCAGGCAAGCGCGCTACCGCTTGAGCCACATCCCCAGCCCCCCGATGTGGTATTTTTTTAAAAAACAAGTGTGGAATCTGATTTACTGTGGTCCCAGGATCACATTCCGATGCATCCCAAAACACCAAAAACATGGTAGGTATAAATGCAAAACTTCTCTCAAAGAAAGTTGAGATAAGCCTTGAAAATCCTCACGAAGAAAGTTCCAAAGAACAGGGACCCATAGTTCAAAAATCACAAAACATACCACACATCACCATGGGTAAAGATGGCGAAATGATAGATGGTAGAATCAGACCATTAGAGACTTCATGGTGGAATTATTAGATCCAGAGTATAAAATAAGCACATTTATGAGATTATAGGCCCAGGCCTATAATCCCAGTGACTTGGGAGGCTGAGACGGAAGGACTATAAATTTGAGGTCAACCTCAGCAACCTAGCAAGACCCTCAGCAACTTAGGGAGACCCTGTCTTAAAAAAATAAAAAGCATCGAGGATATAGCTCTGTGACAAAGCACCCCTGGGTTCAATCCCCAGGGACAAAAATTAATTAGTTAGACATTCATTTCTAAAAATGAAAAGTCAAATGCAATCATCTCTCCTTATCCTTGGGGAATTGGTTCCAGAACTCGACACCAACCCTAAAATCTGTGAATGTTCAAATCCCTTGTGTAAAATAGGGTAGTTATTTGCATATACCTACACAATTCTTCCCATGTATTTCAAATCATCTTTGGATCATTTACGACACCTAATGCAATGTAAATGCTATATAAATAGCTGTTATACTGTATTGTTTAGAGAATAACAAGAAGAAACCTATATGTATTTATCACAGACACTTTTTTCAAATATTTTCCATCAGCGGTTGGTTGAATCCATGGATGCAGAACCTGCAGATATGGAGAGATAACTGTAATAAAAATTTAAAAATGCAAAATAGAAATGAAAAAAGAAATGGATTTACACTGAATTAGTCACAACTGAATCCAAATTAGGTTAATAAAAGAGAAACCTATACCTCAACATATCTTGGTACTACTTCACAACACAAAAGACAGAGAGAAGAGCCTAATGACAATCAGGAAAAAACAAAACAAAACTCATCTGTGAGGCAGTATCATGTGACAGTTTAGTGCGGTGGATAAGAGTGTAAGGGTGAAGGGTAGTTGGTAGGAACCTGAGCTCTGGAACATACTGGCTAGGTTTCAATACTAGTTCTATGAACTGCAAGTACGATTTGGCAAGTTACTGCAAAAAGTTACCTCTCTATGACTCAGTATCCTTCTCTCTAAAAGATAATCAATAATATTTTCCATTCATTTTATTATCTGAAAAATGCACACACACTTTTGGGAAGAGACCTAACATTAGTAAATAGCCTTTGCTATTCAAGGAATGACAGCAACTAGCTGCAGAGGAGAGTGACCCTGGCTAGCAATCTGGAATTCTGAATTTACACGTATATTTATCCTTATCACTGTTCACTCTTTCTTCTTGCATTTTGGATTGCCCACCTGTTATGAATTTTCTTTTGCCAAGAGTACAAACTTTGTGATTGCCTTTAGTGAGTGAGGGTTTATTTGCAGTTAACTCCTTAAATTTTCTTTCCTTGAAAGTCGCATGAAACCCCTAGGTTTAAACAGGTTAAAAAATCAGACCATCTCAAACACACACACTGTAGGCAGAGGTATGAATTGGTAAAACCAGTTGAGAAAAGAGTAATACCCAGAAAATATAGATCTGGAGAATATTTTATATCATGCATGAGAGACATGTATAAGAATATTCATAGGAGCATCATTCATAATAGCAAAATATGGACAATAACCCAAATCTCCATTAACAGAAGTATGGATAATTAAATTGTGCTAGTCATCTTAGCAGCAGTGCCTTGACTGAAACTCAAAAGATAAAGATGAGTGAGGAAAAAATGGTTTCTATATTATTCCATTTCTAAAAAATGCAAAAATATACAAAGCTAAATAATATTTTCCATGGGATACATTTTTGTGATAAAATGGTAAACAGAAGCAAAAAAAATCATTAGCATTAAATTCGGACTGATGTTGATCTCTGAGATCAGGGATATGGAAATGATTATGACTATACTAGTAATATTTTTTTTTCTCATGCCTGGGAGTAAGAACAGAGGTGACAATTTTATTCTTACTTACATATTTTTGTTTGCATGAAATATCTTGTAAATAAAAGATAAGTGGAAACTTCTAGTCAAAATGACTTCATAGAATCATACTTAATTTCAAGAACATTAATTAATATCAAGATGTTAAGTCCCTGTTCCATCAGGTGAATGGGGAATTCAGTCTTATACATTACAAATGTCCCCCAATTTGAAAGTTATACAACAGGTGGATATTCCCTAACTTGCAGGTTATGCAAAACTTGAGGTCCTGCAAGAGTCAGTTCATCAGGGAGACCTCTCTGGTCACCAGCCACAGTTCCACACCCGTCCACAGAGCCATGTTACAGGTTATCTTTATGTCCAGTACACCCCACTGTGTCTACCCCATAGTTAGGATGCAGAGGCTTAGGGGTTGGGGTCTGGAGGCTCCTGGGCTTGGAATTCAGTCTCCTCAGCTCATCATCCAACTAACCTTTCACAGGCCTTTCTAGTTCCCCATGTAAATCAGCCTCTATTTTGGGGTTGTGCTTCTTTCATCTCTCAGTGGATCCTTATGCCGGTGCTATTATTATTAATTTAATTATTATTATTAATTAAATTATTAATTTTAATTATTAGAGTGTCAAAATATATATCAACATTGTAATAAGCTCTTTGTCATTGTATTTCTCCTTGTGGCTTTATTTAGCCCTAAATAGCTGCCCCATCTATTGTGGAAGAAAAGACTTGAAATGAAGCTCTCTCATCTCCAGATGCTTTGGGCTACCCCCACCTCCCCATTCTCCCCTGCTGGGTCTCTATTTTCAAACTCTTCTCCAAAAAGAAAAGTGAGCTGGGTAGCCGTGGTGCATGCCAGTAATCCCAGTGACTTGGGAGGCTGAGGCAGGAGGATCACAAGTACAAAGCCAGCCTCAGCAATTTAGCAAGGCAGGCCCTAAGTAATTCAGAGAGACCCTGTCTCAACTGTCTCAAAATAAAATTCAAAAAAGGGCTCGAGAGGTGGCATAGTTTAAGTTCCCCTGAGTTCAACCCCTGGTACCAAAAAGAAAAAAAAAAAAAAAGAAAAGAAAACTGAATTCTTTAAAGAAAGCCATCATCTTTGCCAATCTCCTTTCCTAACCCATTTTTGGCCAGTATGACATCATCTCTACTTGAGAATAAATTGTAATGATGAAATCTACAACAGAGAATTGTTCATTTAACATAGTTACAGAATATAACTGGCACTTGCTTCTTAGCTCCCCATTGAAAAAGCACCCTTCCAGAATCATAATTCTGCCAAAGTTTGCTCAACAGAACTCCTTTCTCCCAGTTGAGCAATTTGTAGGTTTGCTTGAGGAGATATTGAATCCCTCAAACAAAAAGAGCTGGAATCTCTTGGCCTTTACTTTCTTAAATAAAGACTGCTGGATTTTTTTTCCTTTCCCAGGGGTGACATTTTTTTTTTTTTTTTTTTTTTTTTTTTTTTTTTTTACCAAATCAGAGGCTTCTCTTTGGTTGGAAAGAGGAAAAGTCTTGGGGAGAGGGAAAAATAATTCACTAAGCCTCTCTCCCTCTCTCTTTTCTCATATCAATGTTCTTATTCCTTAAAAAAAATTAAGAATTCACTTGAATTTTAAAATTAATTTAACTTAATTTTTATTTTATTTTATTTCAGCAACACACATTCACAGACAGTTCAACAGTTCTGAGAAGGGAAATCTAAAATCCCCACCTCACTCTCCCACACCCAGCTTCTATCCAGAGCTAGTCTCTGTCCATTCTTCTTGCTGCTGTTTCTGGTATTTACCTCCTATCGCTAAATAACATACTGTACAGCTGTTTATTATTTCTCAACTTCAGCTGGGATGCTTTTTCTCTGATGAAAGATGGGAACTCAGGTTTCTTACACCCGTCTCTCACACATGCACATCATCTCCCCTATTTCCTGAAAAAAAATGATATCACAGTATTTCTGTAGGTATATTACTCACTTTGTAAATATTATTCACAGCTGAGCCATGTAGTGTACTGTGGATATTTTCCTTCTTTGATCAAGTTTCTTTTTCACTGCAATTGTGTACAATGAGTCAAAATGCATTTTGCTATCATATATACTTACTAATTAAAATAAATTAAGAAAAGAAAAGAAAAAAAGAAACATTGCTCACTACAAGATCACAAAAATTTACACTTACATCCCCTTGTAAGAATCTTGGGTTGATTTTTCATCAATTTTGAATGGGTTTTTGTTTACGGTGTGAGGTGAGGGTTCCAATAAATTCTTGAGCCTGTTCATATGGACATCCAGTTGTTCCAGTGTTATTTGTTATATATATATAAAATTCAGAATTAAGATAAAGTGAAAATATTTTCTTGCTAAAGAAAAAAAATAGAGAATTCATCATTTAATTAAGCTGTGTTAAAAAAAAAACTATTGAAGAAAGATCTTTAGGCAAAAAGATAAGATCCCAGATGAATCTCAGAGATGCAGAGTAGAACAAAAAATAATGAAACTTGCAAATAGATGAATAAATTAAATGAAATTTAACCATAATTAATGCAAGGATGATAAAAAAAGTTGAGGTCCTTCATTCTGAAAAGGCCTCTATCTATTCTCTCATTTATTTGCTGGTGTCTTTCACACGAGGGCCTTTTCCTCAAGTGTGCAGTGGTCACTGATGGCCGTTCATAATGATGTCAAAACAGGTTGATTTGATGCTCTTGTGAGTGAAAGGGATTCACTGCATTGTAGGCTCTGAAGTCAGGTAGGAAACAAAGCAGGTGTCTAGCTTTGAGGCTAGAGGATTCCCAACCTCTGTCAGCCTTCTTTCTAGGATTGTGCAGTTTCCTGTAGGCAGAAGCCCCAGGGTCCTGCCTTGACAGGCATCTGTCTGTCATCATTCTAGTAGCCAAATAAGGGAAGGGCACTGGGTCCTCACTTTAGCATGAAAGCGGTCTTAGTCCCTCCAGAGCCTCAGAACATCACTTCCCTCCAGCCCTCCACCGTGTCAGGGATCAACTCCAAAGAGAAAAATCTTTATTTTCTTGTAAGAATGAGGAGGAGCATATTCCTGGTGGGAGAGGGGAGCTCCTATTCAGCCTTTCAAAAAGTGTCCCTGGAGGTTTGCAAGGGTCCAGTGGGTAGAGTACCCTGTCAGCCCTTCCGCAAGGAGGTTTTTAAACGCTCACTAGCTGTTTAAACTGAGGCACACTTCTCAAAGTCTCTGAGCTCCCATTTCTCCATCTGTGAAATGAAAACTTCTCCGGAGTCGAGACGGGAGGGTTCTGTGGGGTGAATGAATGTGAAGTGCCTGGTACCGTCTGCCTGGCACGGGGAGGGCAGCAGTGCAGTGTCCTTGGTAGTGGTTGTTGGTAGTGGTTGGCAGGATCCTTAGCCTGGTTTCTGTGGACAGAAAGGATCTCCTCCCATGTCCGGTGCTTTTGTTTCCACTCTCTGCTCATGTCCTGCTGAAGCATAAACAGGACTTCAGGGATGCAGCGGCCTTTGCACCTGGCTTTCCACTCCTCCCTTTCCCTGAGTGCCCAATCCAAACCCTCAGCATCACCTCCTTTACTTTGGCTCCCATCCCAGTGGACCCACAGCGGGAGTAGTGATTGCAGTGACATCAGTCCAAACCCAGGTCTCAAAGTAAAACAGACACGTGCCCATGACCCTGCCTTCTCGCCTATTCCATGCCTAATTTCTCCACCCTCTACCCAGTGCCCCGGCTCCCCCTCCTACTCTTCCTGTCCTTCCTAACCCCAGAGCAAGAAAGAGGCAAGGGAAACATTCCTTGTGCCTTCATTGTGCAAGAACCCTTCTCCCAGGGCAAAATGAAATTCCTCTTTCCCCCACTTATCATCAGCTCTCTCTGACCTCAATCCTTCCCCTGCTTCTCTCTCACTGTCCTTGTTTGGGGCCTTGGTAACTGCTTTGTTACAGGGCATCCTTTCTCTTCACAATATCTTAGCCTGAGTCCCTTCCCCCGCCCCCTCTGGTACCCAGGATTGAACCCAGGGATGCTTAACCACTGAGCCACATCCCCAGACCTTTTTCTATTTTATTTAGAGACAGGGTCTGGCTGAGTTGCTAAATGCCTCATTAAGTTACTGAGGCTGGTTTTGAACTCAACAATTCTCCTGCCTCAGCCTCTGGAGCCACTGGGATTACAGGCGTGCACCATCATACCCAGCCTCTGCCTGAATTTTAGGATACACTTCTTCTCTGGGGATGCACTTGTGATGTCCTGGGGCCTCTGGTATATTTGTAATGGGCTGTATCTCAAAGATTAATAGGGATGGGGAACTGGATATGCTGGGGAAGTTAGACAATTAAAAATGTAGAATGTCTGATGGGCCAGAGATCTGGATCCAGAATCTGATGGAAAGCAAGCTCCACTGTGCTTGACATCTTCCCCCCAGTCTGAGATTTCAGCATTTAAGACTCTACTGGGGGGTTTCTCCTCCTACATCATTTAGACTCAGCCACTGAAACTACACCCAATGAAATGTCCTAAGTAGGTCTTATTAACAAAGGTCATGGTTAATAAGACGTGGACATCAACATTTGTCAAGAGTGACGTAATGACAATGTCATCTGGATGCTGAGTGAATGAAGGTGGACACAACGGTATGCGAAGGAGCCTCATCTAAGGACCTTACACCCTCGTGTCCGTTTTCAGCCACGCACAAACAGGAGAGCTGCACTTTGTCGTTGCCCTCTGTAGATGTTCTTTTCTGAACACAGCCCTTAGTTTATCCTTGAAATTCTCCCCAGCAAAGTAATAGAGGAAAGGATTGAAGCAGGTGTTGGCTGCCGCCAAGGCCAGTGTGATGACCACGGCTTTGTGCAGCCCGTCCCCGCACGCCTTCTCATCCCAGGTGACCAGGTGGAGGGTCCTCAGTGAGTGATAAGGCAGGAAACACAGGAGGAAGATGATCAAGGTGATGATGATGGTGATCATAGCCTTCCTGTGAGAAGCCCTCAGACCCAGTTCCGAGAGCTTCACCTTCGACAGGACCCGGATGATCAGCAGGTAAGAGATGGTGAGTGTGAAGAAGGGCAGCAGGAAGCCCACCACCAAGGCAACGTAGTTCATGATCAGCAGATTGTTAATTTTTTGGGGATCCAGATCCAAGCATGATATGAGCTCGCCCTTTGGCTCGGAGCCTCTCTTCAGCAGCATTCCTGAGGCAATCATGATAAAGAGCCATATGATCCCACAGAGGATCCAAGCCGTCCTGAAGCTGGTGACATGGAGAAGCCGGAAGGGGTGAACGGTGGCTAGGAAACGCACAACGCTGAGCACGGTCAGGAAATAAATGCTGGTGTACATGTTGACGTACAAGGAGTACGACATAATTCTGCAGGCCAGGTCCCCAAATATCCAGTTGGAGCCTCTGAAATAGTAGTCAGCCCTGAAGGGCAGAGTACTTGTGAACAGGAGATCGGAAATGGCCAGGTTGAGCATGAAGACATTCACAGATGAGGATTTCTTATAAGTCTGCAGGAAAACATATATGGACAAGCCATTTCCCAAGGATCCCCAGACAAATATGATTAGGTAGGCGATGGGGTAAAATTGTCCCTTGAAGGTTTCAGTCGTGCAGTTCCCCATGTCCTGGGTTTCATTTGATGCCATTTCTGATGTGGAGCTGGACAGAAGCCAGGACGTGAGTTTTCTCCCCCAGCTGTGTTAAAAAGGAACAGACACAAAAAGTTACTTTAGGCATTTTCTTTTTCCTTCTTGCTCATCGATTACATCTTTCTGGGTTGTAATGAAACAGAGAGAAATAGTAGATTTTTCTTGAAACTCATATTGAAAAATATTGGTATGTCTTTACAATAGGCTGTATTATATGTCATGATAAGTTTCCTAATGTATAATATAGAGACTAACCATTATTTGGCTGGAGCCTCCAACTTGGGGAACTTTTGGCCTCCTGCTCATGTTGGTATGAGTGCCTTCCTGGGATACTGCAGCCTGAATCCCCTGGACAGCAGATTCCTCATCAGAACTCGTGGGAAGCAAAGGGAAATGGCATGGCATTTCTCATGTGCTTAAAAGACCTTCCAGACTAGAATTCTCTATCAAGCAAAAATATCCCTCAGGCATAAAGGGGAGATAAAGACTTCTCAGATGGCGAGAAAACTAAGGGATTTGTTTGTTTATTTGTTTGCTTTTTAACCATCAGAATTACACTAAAAGAAGGGGTAAAGTTAGCCCTTTAAACAGGAGATAATTAAAAAGAAAAAGACAACTTAGAGCAATCAGAAAAAGTAGACTTCCCTTCTCTTGATGGGTCCAAATTATATTAGATGTTTGAAATGAACAAACAGACAAAAAAAAACTATTAATACACTCTGATGTGGTTGTATATGGATGTAGAGGAATTATTTAAGATAACTATATTATCCATGAGGAAGACTAAAGAGACATAAAGGAAGGTCAAGTTTCCTCACTTCATTTGAATGGATAAAATGATGGCAGGGAAAAGATGACACAAACAGAAAACAGAAAAAAATGGCAAATTTATCCCCAATATCCAATAATTACATTAAATATAAATGGTCTAAATATATCAATTAAAAGAGAGGTTGGCTGACTGGATTATTAAAAAAATGACCCAACTATCTACTGTCTACAATAAATTTTTTACTTCAAATAGTGGTATTGGCAGGTTGAAAGGAACAGGAAAGGAAAATACATGTCATTCAAATCAAGGAAAGTTAGGAATGGCTCTATTGGTGTAAGATAAAGTGAACTACAGAGCAAAGCATGTTATCAGAGACAAAGAGGAGTATTATATAAAGATAAGAGCATTGTCCACCAAGAAGACT